CAGGAGTTTCCTTGGTAGTGGTCCTGGATACAACAAGCCGTAGGTTGTTTTCTTACGATAACCGTCAGAAGGGGTTTTTTAAGTTGATAAAACTGATTTACCAAAAAAGATTTTGTGAAAATAAAAAAAAAACTCGTAAAATTTTGTTGAAATAATTTAATACGGTGGCTGACGGCTTTGGGGGCGTAAATCGAAAAAAGGCGCAAAAAACAAATCGAGCACGAATCGCTGTCGACAAACTTGGAAATGTGGAGTTTTATTCCGAAAACTTTTCTTTGCCCAACACCCAGTAATAATGGACTTTTTGACGACTTTTTGTAATACTAAGCAGAAACTTCGGGCTTTTTACACAAGATATCACTATCCCACACTGAACCTAACACTAACCCTAACCCTAAAAGTTACCCTAACCCTTACCTCTGACCCTAACCATAACCTTAATCCTAACCCTAATCGTGCTCAAATCGAGCTCGAATCGCTGTCGACAAACCTGGAAATGTGGAGTTTTGTTCCGCCACTACCAAGGAAACTCCTGCCGAAGTTACAACGCATCCGCTCCTTTCCTAGTACGGGGAATGAAAGTCTTGACGTCTCTCGATAAGACTGTAGACGACGGACGGAAAGCAAAGTTACTCATGATTCAGGTTGTACAGTCATAATTACAGGCCCCCATATGTCCCCAAACAAAATTTCACATTTTAGAAAGGATTTTGCACTTTACAATTGGAGAATGTTATCTGACAATGAAAGCAACACATGTTGCTTTGGCCGATGACAGAGGGAGAATGAGCATGAAAGCGGTTTGGTGCCCAGAAGTCAGTTACCAAAGTCAGGGACAAGAAAAAGACAGTCTGTCTGCTCAGAAGACTACAAAAAAGTACTTCCACATCAAGTGGAAGCCTTAGACGGACGACTTGGCGCCTCGGGGAATGTGAGCTTAGCTGATCCAGGAAATACACGGCAGATGTCCTCCTCTTTGACGGACTTGAGCAGCTGTTGCTGCAGAGGGGTCGCCTTCGGGTCCATAGCGAAGTGATGGATAGCCAGTCTACCAACTGCAAAATGAAGTCAAGGGAAGGTCAAGATCAGCATCGCTATCACAGTTACACATGGAAAAAACAAGAAAAAAAAAGAAATCTACGGCATCAAACTCACTCTTGCCGCGCTTTTGGGTTCCTGGCGTCAGTTTTGCCTTAAATTTGCACTTTGAAATCGCCGAGTAGGGCGCACA